CATCTATTCCACATATTAATGCAAAAAACTTGTCTGAAGTTTTAATTTATCTTATTTATTTATTTATTTATGTATTTATTTATTTATTTATTTATTTATTATCTGCTCTCCCCCCCCCCCTTGCAAAATACAGGATCTGACAGTATTAAGGATATGCAGTTAAGACACTGTTGAACTGTAGCAAACTTTATAGAACAGCCATTTTCCACTTGTCTACTGTGCTAGTAAATCAATAGGTTCAACAACCGATGTGATAATTCCTTCCATATTGTAGCCAGGAAATTAAAACACAATAATGTGATTTCTGTACGTGGATGCAGCAAGACAAGCTGACCAGGATATTGCATTTACAGTGAAATTACGCAGGGGTATCATTATATTTAATGAATATATGTGTGAAGGTCCACTGCTTACAGAGGGTGCAGTTGAGCTTCTTTGTGTTAAGATTTTAAAAACAAGCAAATGCTCAGACATAGAAACCTTATCTTAACAGTCTGGAAGTGGTTAAAGGGTTTGCTTCATGCCGTCAGAATGGCCTGAACGGAACATATTCTTCAGAAAACATGCCCAACTAACGATANAACAGAAGCAACAACAGATGGTTTAGAAACAACAACTGTAACACAAAATACCACTGTAGCAGCAACAACTGGTGTTTTAGAAACAACAAGTAGGATCCAAAATACAACGTTAATGTTGACAACACCTACACAAACTCAGGCTACATCAGCTGTGAGAAATGAAACAACAGCAGCACAATTTACTGCACAAGCTGTAGCAACCACAACTACAGCATTAACAACAACAACAGTGTCAACAACAACTGTAAAATCAACAACTACCACTGGTTTGGTGTTATCCACTGCTTTAGTAATAGAAGAGGTGACTTTGAATACTACAGAAGAATTGAAAGAGTATTGGGTAGAAACAGGTAAGTTACTAGTCTGAAATTGCAATGTCAGTTTAGTTTTCAGTATGCAGCCTTTCTCAGTTTTCCATTTCAATTTAGAAGTTTGGGTTTTCTTTTGATTAAATAAATTATCACATTCTGGTCATATTATGAGTTTGAGATATCTTACTTGTTCACAGTATCTTAGTTTTTATGTTTTAACATTGACTTTTTGTCAAGCACCTGAAAGTTTTTAACCTAATAACTTAAGTTTATTTATTTATTTATTTTTTTTTTTTTGGTGTTTAATTTTTATAAAAATCACAGTCCAAAATTACAGTGTTAAAAATTTTTTTTTTATCCACACTATAAACAATATTGTTAAATTTTTCTTTTTGGTCCTTTTAGTGCTTTCAGTGCCAGAAAATATCAATGTGTCCACGTATGAGTTTAGAAATGACATGGAAACAAAGCTATCCAGATTGTACTTTGATGCCTTCAAGAGGGAAGAGCAGATCAACAATGGCACATTTGTGTCAAAGGCTAGGAAAAAGCGAGCTGTGATGTACGAGGAAAATAACCAGAACCTCACAGTACAGGTATAATTGTCTTATTATTTTAAAATATCATAAAAAGTAAATTGTTCCTAAAGAGACAAAGCTTGTTCTTCTACAGACGTGTGACAATGAAAGCCTGCTTCACCATATTATCTTTTAGTTCAAACAGTGATTGGAGTGGACTTATACTGGCATTTGCTACATTTGCCACAAAATTATTTATTTTAACTTACCAAACAAAAAATTAGTGATAGTAGAATTGTTGTGTGTGAAGTGATAGTCTTTCTATTATACCTGTAGTCTTTTGTGTGAATACCAGCAAAAATGTGACTTTTTAAACAGTGTGAAATGGATAAAAGTTATCACTATCATAAATAACTAGGTTATGTAATTTATCTTTTTGAAATGTTTTGTGCTATATCCCCTTTGTTGTTTCTAAAAAGGGGCGAAAGGCACTTTGATGCACTCTTTACTTTAATTATCGTAGGTGGGCAAAAATGGATGAAAGGAATTTTTGCACCACTCCTCATCCCCTTTCAATTTCTATGTACAGTTTATTTGTAAATGCTCCCCCTTTTATAACTGCCCACTTTTAAGACTCAAGCAGCTGAACTTAACAAAAATATATATCAAGGAAATTGTAACTCACCTCCACTTGCATCCTAATATGTCTAAGCTTTTAGGTTTGTGTGCACAGAGCCGAGCAGTAATGGTGACCCAGAAAATGTTCTCTAAGTGACATTAGATGATTTTTTTTTACATAGTACAGTTCAGCTTCACTGAGTTGACCTTAAGGAGAGCAATAGATGTTTACTTATTTTTTTATTGAGGTCATTTTCTCATTGACTCTTTACCAAGGTTATTGACATCAGCCGTGGGTCAGAGCAGCCGAGCAATGTGGATGTTGTTTACTACATGGAGAAGGATGGATACCTTGTACCTGCACAGTCAGCTGTGAATGTTTTGAATCTCTACAGTGAGCAGGAGCTGGCTTTGCAATATTTCAACTACTTGGTTGTCTCCAAGGCAAAAGGTATGTGTTATTGTTGTCAGCAAAGAGGGAAAAAAACGTCCTGCTTTGAACAGTGTTGAAATTTCATCATTATGAGTAACATTACTACACAGATCAATTTTCATCAGAAATCACCTTGCTTTGTTCACCTTTGAAGTGATAGGCAAGGTGTTATCCTAACATTTATGAATATCTCTTATGTAAGCTATCAATTACAGTGGTTGTATTTCTAAGCATCGTACCCATAAGTTGTTGTATGAAAATGAAAAAAGTAAATATCACCATGACCTTCATGGAGACTGATTTTAATAATATGTATGAGCTGGCGTGATCACTTGAGACTGTCACAGTGATGTGACCTGTTCATTTGCAGCATGTATTTTCTGTAGTCAATACAATAATTCATTGACAGCACTAATGCATTTTACATATGATTATTGCCATATATTTTTATATAGATATGCAAATAATCTCTAGTGACATCTAACTTACACAAGAATTTTAAAGGAATTTATTTAGTTTACATTAAATACAGCAATAGAGATGCATTTCACCAAATTAAAGTTAAATTGTGAGACAAATTCATGTGTTGTCAATGCTTGTAACATGTTCTAAGTGAGGTAACACACCAATGTAATGTCTCAATGTAAACTGTTTAAATGTCACACAGAAATAGGTTACGAATGCATGCAGATGGAAAGACGATGTATACCAGGAAACATTAATATTTTCTAGGGAGTCATGGAGACTGTATTGATCTGGAATGTGTTTTCGTTTATTTCCAGTATAAATACTTTATATATTCAGGTCTACTCTTCTTAACACTTGCCTTTGACTACAGAAAATAAAAACAGAAAAAGTTCCTGACTTAAATTTTGATTTGCCTGTATATATTTATCAATTTAAGAAAAAAAAACCAAATCTTGTGTTATATGTTGGGATGTTTTCCCCCCAGACAAATTTCAGTTCAAACATAACTACAATATAACTATTACATTATTTTCCCAGTGTATGATCCTCCTGCAGTCATTGTACCAGACCCTCCCCAGTACTGGATCATAGGAGTAGTCGTGGGCAGCATTGTGGGCTTTGTCCTCATCGCCTGGCTCATCCTGTTCATCTACTTCAAGTGTGTCAAGCCTCCTGATCCAGGAAAAACACCACGAACTCCACGCAGCAGGCGGAGGCACTCCAGACAGCTCCACATTGGGGAGCCAGAGCTGATGGGAGTGAAGAAGCTCCACACTGCTGTAAGTATTTTGACTGAAAGAAATGTAAAAATCAGTGTAGTCATGATTTAAAAAAAAAATTTTTTTTTTGAGGGGGGAGTGGAAATTAATCCTATTTCTATGTTATTTTGTCTAGATTATTTGATTTTACTTTAAAACCCATTACAAATCTTATTACTTACATGTGACATTTTTCCCTATTTTACCTTATAAAACCAAATCATTATCAAGCTTTGAGTAAGCTTTAATGTTCTTGAAAAATATTTTTTTTGATGAACCATGACTCTACAAGAAATGTTTACATGTAGGATCTCACCAGTGTCAAAACCAATGGATTCACTCAAATTGACAAAGAAACTGCCTCACAGAGAAGTGAACCACCCATGGTGGAACCACCCCCAAAAAGAAATTATCTCGAAAGGAAACCAGAAAGCCGTCCTCCTGACATTCCTCCTTTAGATCTCAATGGAATAGAGCAGGGTCCCTCAGAGGCTGTGTATGCTAATGTCAGCAGGCCACCCAGAAGACCTGTGCCAAAGAAACACAGGACACCACAGAAGTGAGGAATTATAATATTAAAATGATATGTTTATTGGTCACTGAATGCATACTCAGTTACATGTACAAGTAAGGCTACAGTGTTTTCTAAAAAAAAAATTACTCCACATATTATGTATAATGACATGACAAAATCAGTATGACACAGATATAAATTAATTAACAAACACTGATAAGTACATGTTCAACAATTTGGACATGGTTTATAATAATATAAAAACTTCAGTGAATATTGAATGAAACATGACATAGCTGCTGTACATAACACTGTGGCTTTTACATGAAAGAAAGTTTATGAATAGAGTCATATTGCTTTTTAAGTATTTCCCTTGCTTGAGGGATAACTTGACGTTAAGAGCTGTATGATTTTTATTGGACTTATCCCATGTGATATATTTCTTTTAAACTTATTTGGTGTCAAATAACACAACAATCATATATACATTAAAATTTTTGCTATTCTTCAATTATATGTTAACCTGGATTGTGAAGATACTGTTTTTATGAAAATTGGGATGATTACTTATGCCCACTGATAACTTCTTTTGTTCCCTTATTATAGGGATGATGATGATGGATTAGCAAGTGACACACTTACACATGTATCAGAAGAATCAGAAGTGCCCAGAAGGAGAAAACCTCCCAAAAAACCTTCAAGAAAAAGAACTCCAAGAAGAAGCCAAGCAGGTAGTTAGTGACAAAATAATTAGAACAAATGTAAAGAAAGAAAAAGTTCCATAGCATGTGTTGAAAAGATTGAAAGTGTAAAGTTGACACATACATTAGATAAAAAAAATATTGAGCATTTGATGAAAATCTTTATATGATATGGTAACTCCCCATCAGCAACTCATCTACTTCATCTTTTAAAAGCTGTGTGGATTAAGTCTTCCATGCAGAAAAAAAAACAGTGCTAGGTGCATAATTAAATGATGACATATGAAACCTTAATTGACCTTTGAACTAATTCCTTTTTTTTTCTAGCACCCACAGATTCTACCTTCTCTCAACCGTCTCCTGAAGAACCTCCTGTGACTTATCGCTCTAGTCACCAGCTTAAACTGCCGCCACTTACACAGAAACCTTTGGTGGGGCCGAGCCTGTACGATCAACTTCAGGAACAACAAAAGGTATTTGAAGACTAAAACATATACAATTGGAAGTTATTTAGAACAAGGATGATTCCTTTGAATTGGAATATCATTAAGTGTCCCTTCTCCTGCACATAAGCCCTCAGTCATTTGGTTGTGCATCTTGCAAGGGGAAGCAGTGTAGGATCCAGGGAGGAGGAGGCACGGCATCCGTGTATTCATCTATTCTACATATTAATGCTAAAAAACTTGTCTGTAGTTTTAATTTGTCTTGCTTTATTTATTTATTTATTTATTTATTTATTTATTTATTTATTTATTTATTTATTTATTTATTTATTATCTGATCTTCCCCCCCCCCTCCCCTTGCAAAATACAGGATCTGACAGTATTAAGGATATGCAGTTCAGACACTGTTGAACTGTAGCAAACTTTATAGAACAGCCATTTTCCACTTGTCTACTGTGCTAGTAAATCAATAAATTCAACAACTGATGTGATAATTCCTTCCATATTGTAGCCAGGAAATTAAAACACAATAATGTGATTTCTGTACTTGGATGCAGTAAGGCAAGCTGACCAGGATATTACATTTACAGTGAAGTTACGCAGGGGTATCATTATATTTAATGAATATATGTGCGAAGGTCCACTGCTTACAGAGGGTGCAGTTGAGCTTCTTTGTGTTAAGATTTTAAAAACAAGCAAATGCTCAGACATAGAAACCTTATCTTAACAGTCTGGAAGTGGTTAAGTACAGTGTACCACATAACTATCTGACCTCTATACATGCATGCATGCATATATGTATGTTTATAGGCTACTTCTCCTATTGCTGTTTATTTAAGGTTGAAGATACTATAAGGAGAAAAACAGATATGGAAAAGCAAAGGAATAAGCAGAGGCTAAGAAAAAGAAAAGGTAACACACTTCCATGTTTTATGGCTGTTTGATGCTTAATCAAAGACTCATTCTATTTAGATGTACTTTTTCTTCAAATACTTCTTCTCACATGTCTGTGTTTGTTAAAGAATGGATGTTGTAACCTTGTCCCACTTGTTAACAAATTCTGTTGGTGAAACCCAATAGTCTGTGAGCCTGAAGTATCACATATGAGCCACGTCTGCGTTTGAGTGGTGATATTGTTAACATATCAACCAAGACAGAATGAGATTTTGGCATGTAAAACATGTTGTCAGACCAGTTTGAGAAGACTATTTGTGTCTGTAAGTAGGGTATTTTACACCCTGTATTCACTCAGGTATGGTGCATTGAAAAGTTAAGGGGAAATTATGATTCATACTAAAGATACCAGCAAGAGTCCATTATCATCTTGGTAATGGTATCTTAATACCACCAATAAGTACCAGCATACATAAATCCATATGGGTTGCCTCACCATAAGTAGAAGACTTAACTGCATTATTTTGTATATTTTAATGAAATGTGTATGATCATTGCTAAATTTTCTCATGTATGCCCCAGCATGTATCAAGTATTGTAGCTTCAAGACTGAAAATTATTATATGTTTTTACAATGATCTATATATGTATTGCTTTATGTGTAAATATTGGTTTCATGTTTCCAGTCCCAAAAGACCCATACTTGCGTGCCCAGGCTGAGATAGATGCAGTCTTAGCTGGTTCAGAGCAAGAGCTTCTTCCAGAGTCTGACCGAGACAGGTCAGTGATGTTCTTCTAACTGGCCAATCCAGGTTTTTGCTACTGGGAGGGGATGGAAAATGTTTGCCTTGCTTTTTGCTCAGAAAATAATAAAATGACCGATGAGGACACTTTCTGTAATATGTTNACTTAAAGCATAATTGTTTCAGTGATGTGTACTTTAATGTTGCAGAAAGCACAGACGAAGGAAACCACCACCAAAACCAAAGAGAAGAAAAGCCCCATATGATCACGAGGAGATTGAGTTGAGAGAAGGAATTCCACCATCTACAGTAAGAATTAACTTTGAAACATTGTAGAATATTCTCAGTTACAAGGGACAAAGTTTGGCATTAAAATGCCATCTTTCATTTATCTTTAACATTTGCCATCTTTTTTAAATATCTGCCAAAATCAGTTCAGAGACATACTATTAACGTAAAAAACATACTCAGTAGATGCATTATGTAAAAGATTATTGTTGTATCAAGTTAGTATAATATTGAAGCAGATTTACCCTTTTATGTCTCAGTGATGTTATTTCTATCACAAGTTTATTAATTGAAATTGAACTTGCTAGTACCCCAGAGACAGTGAATTAGAAGAGCATCACCGATTTCAGAGTCTATACCTACGAGTCCACAGAGTACTAGATGAGGTGTTCGATCTTATTATTTCTGCTGGGAGGTTAGAAATGTTGCTGATGTCAAATGCACAGAAGTTGATCATGGGGAAACTTTTTTGTTTGTTTGATTGATTATTTGTTTTTCCATCTCCGAGAAAGATGGCATTGTTCCCAGTTGATCTTCTGCACTTTTTGCTTGTAGTTATGTGATGGGTTGATGTATACTGTTACTGTTGAAATGAAGTCTTCTGTATTGCAGTCAGGTTATGAATTTAATTTTGATTTTTGAATGTTTTTGCCCAACACAATTTACATCCTTTCCTTTCAAACCAACTGTGGATTCATACATATGTGAAACATGGCTGTTGGACAAATGTTCCATTTATCGACAATATTTCTGTATAAGATATATCATGGTTGTCGAAGAAGGAACCCAGGTTTCACTCTCCAACATGATTCACAGTTGTTAGTGTACACTACAGCATGTACAGTGCCATGGAATTTTATGATTTGATGTGCTGATTGCAATCATTTGGCATTTTAGTCCGATGCAGGGTACACTGAGACAGAAACTGAGCTGGATCAGCCTGAATCTCTGGACGACACCCGTAAAAAGATACACCGATTGCTTGATGATGCTTTTGCACTCATTTCACCAAAGCATGGGTATGGAGATATTTAAGTTCTTTCATTTATTTATTTATTTATTCATTCATTGGTTCATTTTTTTTTTTTTTTTAAATTTTGGTGGAGGTTGTTTGTGCATGATAAATTGTGATTGATAATTAAAATACATTTCTTTCTCCTGCTTAAAGTGTTTTGATTTGTTGGGAAAATGTTCAGTTTCTGTGGATATACACAGAGTCAGATGTAAATGAATTGACTCCTATTTTAAGAATAACACCAAGTCCATTTTGTAAGTAGTTTTAAATTTGTTAGAGTTTTTACAGTGATGGATTTTTGATATCAGAGATTTTCTAGAAGTGTTGCAAAATGACTATCCGCTTTTTTCATTTCTTACTGCTTAAATTACATATGTACTTGAAGCCAGCTCAGGTGTCTTTCATCTTAAGTAGAATGCGTGCATTACTTGAGTTCATTTTAATTATTCCATCTATACAGGAACAAAGTAGCTCCTCACACAGCTACAAACGGAAGACCCATCCCTGGTTCTAGCCTTAGGAGAGGCAGAAATCAGGCTGTCAGGTCTACACAGACCACTCCTAAACAATCAGATAGGTAAGGTATTGAACTTGCTTTTGCAGGCCCATAGCCAGCAATTTCAAAAGGGGGGCTCTTCTTTTGAAATAGTGGACCTTTAATTTTAACCAAGAAAACTTTGTGTACCTAGATAAAATTTCACAGAGGGGATCTTTATGGCAAAAGGGGACCCCCCCCCCAACCCTTCCTGGCTACAGGCCCGTTTTATATTATGCATAGTTTGTAGATGCAGTTTGAATTCTTTTATTCATCTTTTAGTCAGTGGTAGACTGAATTTTTTAAAGGGATAACAACTCTTTGAAAAATATCTATTTTTCACAATAAATACATTGTAAAAAACACACAGAAATATAATATATTCTATTTTACCAAAAAAAGCACAGTTATAGCAATTAATCTGAAATCTGTGCTTGCCATCCGACCATGTGACCTCCATAGATGGCAATACTCTGCAATAATCTCTTAAGAGATTATTACAAAAAAACAAACTACTTAAAAAAAAAAAACAGTGACTAATTTTGAATGTAGAAATGGAATCATTAACCATTGGTTAGTACGGGAAAATTGCCATTTACCCCAGGAAAATTCATTTTTTGGCCAAAATGAATGGTTGTTTTCCCTTAATGTCAAGTTTGACAGTGTTTTTGAGCATTGCTTTTTCCTGCAAATATATTTTATTTTACATGCTTTTTTGCTTTGTTTTAGGGTTGATCAGCCTTTTGTTTGAAGCTCTTTGTTAATGATATGGATTTTATTTCTTTTTCTTTTTTAGAGATGATACTAGCTCTGAGCAGCCAGAAAGATTATTTGAGTTAAGTCCAAGGCTGAACACAGAAGAATACAAAAGCGGTGATGCTGGTGAGATTTGTTCACTTTTAGGAAAATGGATTACATGTACAAAATAAATTAAAAACAATTTTTTCCATGAGATGGGATTGTCCTGAGAGAGGAGATATATTATAAAAGTTTATAATGATCTTATGTAACATTTTACTTAAGAATTATAAGCACTATAAACTATTGATGTAAAATTTTTGAAACCAGAATTTTGTAAATTGCATCTTTGAATCACTTTTGTAATTGTTCTTGACATTCTACTTCACTATTTAAACTATTTAAATTTTAGCTTTTTAAAAATTGGGAATCCTTCATTTGTCATTGTAGAGTCACTGAAACCAGAGACTGTCCACACCCCCATGTACATAGCTAGACATCCCCAGCCCAAGGCCTATGCTGGGGTGATGTGGAGTCCATACACAGTAGATGATGAAGCTGCCAGGGTGTCACCAACCAAGGAACCAGTAAGGGCATATAGCAGGGCCTTAGTTGGGGGAGGGGGGCTTAGAGCAACCACTCTTTTTGTTCAAGAACAGACCCACTGAATGAAATTCAGTTTATTTTAAAAAAAAGCCTAACACACACACACACACACACACACACACACACACACGCACACACTTTTGAAGTTGCCAACTACAGGCCTGCCAGTAACATTTTTGTTTTGTTTAATGTTGATGGGTATTCAAATCGGTTTGTTGAAACTGAAATTATTAGAAGAGGATTGATATATGGTGATAGTTATTACATTATCCTTTTTATAAACAGAGACAGTTTATAAAAGATCTTTATAGAACACAGGTTGGCACTTTCATGATACCCATGATGCATGGGACAAAAGACTTCAAGTTGCTGTCAACTAGTTTACACCAACATCATTTCAGGCTTCCATACCTCCTGGTGGCATTGACACATCCCCGATACACAGTCTGAAGCTTGGACAGACGGATCAACCAAGTCCTGAGTTATCAGTAGGTCAAGGTCACCAGTCAAGGTCAGACAGGGGTTACAGTGACCCAGCGGGTAAAGCCTGGGAACCTTACAATAACCGAAGAGCTCTGATACCTGATGATTACACTAGTCTGACATTTGGAACTGCTCAGTTAGCACCCTCTGCAACGAGGCCAAGAGTCCAAACTCCTCCCCATGGAAGGGAGAGGACTGGTGCAACAGATTCAAATAATGATTCTTTGATACATAATGAAAGTAATGGTGAGGCCTTTCATCCTCTAAGGACAACATCTAAAGGGGCACAACCTTTCTCATTTGACAACCAAACTCTGAACTCTTCCACATACATATCACCAGCCTCAAGCATGCACTCCAAAAACCCAATACTGTCACATAGCATGGGAGGAAGTAGGATTCAGCCAAATGCAAGTGTTCATGCATCCCCTCCTTACAGACGAAGCAACTCAATAGGGGGTCCCATAGAGGATGGGCAGGACGAGATAGATGTGATAAGTAGCAGTCTTAAGCCTGGCTCATCTGCCCAACCCCTGATTAAGTCCATTAGAGAGGAACTGCTGAGGTTAACACAAAGGAGAACACCTGTAAAGGAGTTTGATAGTTAACTGATATTTATACAGCAAGGAAATTTATACTATTTTAGTATTTATCGATTTGTGCATTTGAAAGTGATGTCACTGATTTTTATGCATTATTTAATCTTTGAATTTTTATGAAAAAACTCCCGGTATATTATCCAAAGAAGGAACAAAGTTGACTTGAATTTGAGGTATTTAAGTTGTGTATTACTCAGTATTACAAAAAAAAATAATAATAACTGAGAAGATTTTTGTTAACACAATAGACAAAAAAAATGAGAAAAGTTCTTCAAAGGCACAGCTGTCAAGGTGATGAGGACCAGAGATAGTAACAGAAGGATACCGAATAAAATATTTTAGTCTTCATGGAGGACTCATATTCATTATTTTAAGTTAAGTATCTTTACAGAATTATCAGTCGTGTCATAAAAATTATTTACACCAAATGCTCAGGTTGTTTGAAATAGCTTTATACTTGAAATTTAATTTCTGAATATCCGTCCAAGTATTTTAGATTAAAGGTTAAATATCATATACATGGATTTTTGTCAGCCTCCTATAGTTATATTATGCTGAAGGCTAAAGTTAAAGATTATTATTGCAAGTTCCAGTACTTATTTTTTGAGAATGGCAGAAAGTTGGTGGACATGTGCAAGAGTGACCAGACATTACTCTGGATGTGATGAGAGAGAGATAGACCAACTCTTGTTGGGATTCTTAATGAGCTGAAAAAATAGTGACTGATCACAATATTGTTGCATGTTTTGCAGTATAAAATGCATTGTTTGCTACATTTTTCTGAAAAAATACTTAAAGTGCAAACGTTTTAGATCTGTTACTTTATATTTTTACAATCATAATGCTGTATTTTTACAAAATTATATGATTATATGAATTCTGATATTTAATAAGTGCACAAATGCTTTTGAAAGCCAAATAAACTAATCAATATTGTAGTTGCGTTTATTCTTAAATTTAATCCACATGTTGATTAGAAGAGTTTTATAACCCACCCCTTCTCTTCAAATGTTATTGTATTTATAAAAAAATATGCCTGAAGTCAAATACATGACCAGAATGAAATTATTTGTCAAATTAATCTGATCAAATTTACTTTTTTCCTTCTACCACCATCTCAGAATCAGCTAAATTATTTGCTTCTGGATCTTTTTTAGTCCCAAACTTGGACAGTCCAGTCTCCAAATGTCTTTGTTTTTGTAAATTGATTATTTTGAGTATATCCTCAAAAATCAAGGTCTGTACATTATTTTTATACCTTCTTTAAAATATACCTTTATACTTTTACAGTATTCCCCAAAACTATTATAAGTCTGATTTTCGATATTTGTCAAAACAGTTAATTATGGGTAGGCTGCACATTGTCACTGTTATTCAAATTATCTTGATAATTTACTAGTTTTTATTTTAGAGGAAACTTTCAAACTCTTTGACTAATGAGATTACCTCACAATTATCTCCCCTGTGAACGCCTTGGTATTCACAGATGTTTCCTGATGTGAAGAGTTTTATCTGGCATCAATTTGCATTGACAAAGTTTAATGTTGTTAATACCCATTTTCTCTCATTTTGTAGGGTCGCCAATACAAAAAAAAATTAAATGTTATGACAGCTATACCGCATTCCCTGTCTACTGAGTACATCTTGTTACATTTAGTTCTGTTCCCATTGACCGTTTTCAAAATATTACTTTTATCGTTTAACTATATATCCATACGAAATATCCATGACATGCCTTTAAAATAACCAGCAAAATTTAATAAAATACATAACAGTTTAACCTTTTTGGGTAAAAAAAGATTGTTAATGTTTATAGTATAACGCTAACGTATCGTACATCATAGGCTACTTAGTCAATTTCGTCACTAAACAACGGACTTACCGAGCATTACAAACGCAATACGAATATTTCATATCATGCAGTTTTGGTTTGATATCTTGAAATAATAAATTGCTATAATTTGTTTATTTCAAGAATATGGTTTTTTGGGGGTTGAAAAGAACAAACAGCTTAGGTTATCTCACTCCCGACCCGCCAAAAAAAAAAACGAGTTTGTGCACGATGAAGGCCTGTTGTTTTACACGGACATCACTAATAATAATTTCCTTATCTTTCCTTGTAATCTAGCAAAAAGCATCGCCTCCACGTACAACACGTCACAAAATACAACTAATGAGGATATATGGTTTCGTTTAGAAACGATTAATGATATTCCGAGTTCCAGTGATTTATAAAGCAAAAAATAGAGGGAAACACTCACTGCTACAGACTGTTCTGGAATTTATTTTACTGCACTGTCTGTCTGCAGCAGATTTTTTTTTTTTTTGCTTGTATATTTATGATTATAACGTTAGACTAATTTCAGAGAATATTCCTACATGCATTTCACAAAATATGGTGAAAATAAATTCACAACAAGAAACTTATGAAAACATTTTATATTATGCTTTATTCATAATTTCTGCACCAGACTGAGCTGGTGAAAATGTACAGAGATATAATAGCAACAATAATAATGATGATAATAATAATAAAATACATAGATGAATAGCACCAAAATTACATATATAGAAATGTACCATTATTATACATACATATTTAGTATTTCATAATCATAAGCTAGGTGCAGTCTTTATGCGTTAGCATCACACTACAAGTATTGTACACATGACTAAGATTTAGATATTAATTATGCACGAGCCTGTTTTCTGCTATGTGAAACAAACCTTCATATATGGTAATTAATTATACATCACAAAGTGGTTCCAAGATATAGCACAGTTTCTTTTGTCAAAAGCGAGGTTAAGGAATTTGACCAAAGATATTATCACTGTCTCATTTGGGTTGTTCATTATAAAGGAGAATTTATCTTTGTTGTTTAAATGTGGAAAGCATGTATGGGCGCTTTGTACTGTTTGAAAAAGTTCTTTTCTACATTCTGTATACAGAGGGCAGGTAATTAAAAAGTGTTCTTCATCCTCTATAACTCCAGAGTGGCAGATTTGGCATTTTCTTTCATCAGCTGGTGCTGGTTTACCCTTGACATGGCGACCTGTTTCAATGTGCAAGTTGTGGCTGCTGATTCTAAATTTGGTTAGGGTTTTACATTTTTCTTTATCTTGAATTACACCAAGATATTTTTCTTTCTCAAACTGGAGCTTGAAAATTTTATACGTTCTCTTTTATATACAATCTTTATAGCAAATATAATTTATTGGGCACAATAAAAAGATTTATGTGGGATGAGATTATCAGTGTTAGACAAGTTTCCCAGGGAGCTTGGCTCTTTTAAAAGAAGCTCAAGATGTTTCTTCCTTAATTTCAGTCAGGATGTCTCCTCTGGTTTTCACACTTAGACTTAATAAGCGGCACTTGTGAGACAGAATTAGGGGGTGCAACCTAATTGGACAGTGCCACTTTGCCTCTGTAAGACCAGCCTATCAGAGGCATGTGAGTTCAGTTACTCAGGAGAAAGTTAATGCTCTCCCTCACTTGTCTAGTAAAATTCACAGCATTCAGTAGTGCATTATTCAGAAAAGAAATTTTTAAGGTGAATTTGGAAAAGTTATTCAAACCCAACCCTGTCCGTCCCTAATAATTTTCTTTCTATTTTCCTGACTAATAAAACAGATTTGAGCATTGGTTAAATGTTACATGGTTGTATTTATGATAGTTAGCCGTAACTCGATTGGCACATTTATTAGTCATTAAAAATTATCTGGTTATTATTTGTTTATTAATATTTATCATACATGTGAGTTATATTACTTTAAAGCAATATTTAGGTAAATGTACCAGACAACTCTGTGATTGGGCTGTCAGAGCAATGAGGAAACCTACGTCCCCGTCCTAAAAAGGTAGGGGTTGCGTAGCTCGCTCTCAGCCTAGGCCGACTTTAGAACGCAAAACTTCCTTAAAAATTCACTGCCATTTGTGGCCCTTTTTTCCCTCCATCTTTGCTGAAAATTAATTTTTTTCTGAAAATTGCAAAAGATTTACCATACATGAGTATCATTCATATGATATTATTTAACTATATGTGATTTGAATTCGTACTTTGTGCATTAATCAAAGTACAAATTTCAATGAAATGACATTTTCAACTAACAACTTATTTTGTTATAATTGAAGAAATCACGAAATTGCTGACAGCAAACTAGCCTCAGAGACTCTACTCAATTCATGCACACATAAATATAATTTATTGGGCACAATAAAAGGATTTATGTGGGATGAGATTATATAATCTTTATTGAGCACTAAAATGTGTACACGTTACAGTTTACAGGCTCTCAACACTAGTCATAACAACTTAACAACAATTATACAAATCTATACCATATAGATTCATATCAGTATCAGTGTTAGACAAGTTTCCCAGGGAGCTTGGCTCTTTTAAAACAAGCTCAAGATGTTTCTTCCTTAAAGGACAATGGTCATGGCGTCAGAATGGCCTGACCGGAACATATTCTTCAGAAAAGATGCCGAACTAACGACATCTTTATCCAAATACACAAATTAAAAGCTCATTTTGTAAATTTTGGACTTTAAAAACGTCCTATTTGCTCGGCCTGGGAGTTAATGAGCTACGTGGTCACGTGGTCCGATGACGACAATCGTGCCACCGGCGGAGCTGTTAAACTCAGCTGCATTGTCTACCTGTAAGATGACTTTTCTGGCTTCTGATAAAAGTTTATATTCATTCATATCTCTTACCCGAGGGGTCTAAATCCTCGTGAAGCTGTGTAAAACCATTTCCCGTCTATTCAATTCTTTAACAAGCATTTGATTATGCGTATCCCAAGTTGTATAAAACACTGCATTTGAATGACTTAAGGGTACTGTTGATTATTCCATATGAGGTCCATGTTATTTGTGAAATTCAATTTATTTTATATAACCGCTGACACCCCGTCTTGCATACTTTTATTTAACTGAGGTAAACAATGCCTGTTACCTTTACAAGTCCTATCTTAATCACCCATCTAACTGGAACTTCCTTTGTCTTGTCTTTGTCTTGCGAGAATCGAACGCACTCTCGCTGGCGATATTTATCTCAGGTAAAAATCTGCCTGTGCGTTAGTTTCAAAGAGCAGC